GACACAATTGTTTTTTAAAGCCGAGAATTATATTCAATTTTTTCCTATACATATTATATATTTATAGCAGGAGATAAATTAGTTAAGTTTTGCAATTGCAGATCCAAAGAAGGGAGTGTGAAATGTTGATCTGAAAAATGATGGATGTAGAGAGATCGTCTCTGTGCAATTGCGTCGTGAATTTCCTGCTGGAGGAGAACTACCTCTTAACGGCATTCGAGCTGCTCCACGAACTCCTCGATGACGGCCGGGACGCCCAGGCCATTCGCCTCAAGGAGTTCTTCTCTGATCCCTCTCAATTCCCTCCAGATCAGATCTCTCGCTTCAATTCTCTTCGTGGTAACTTCTCTATACATCTAAGTTTCTAGTATGCCTATGGATTCATGTGCAAGTGCTTGGTGGCTGGAACCTGTGATCGGAATTCTGGTTTTTTGTAAAATGCTTAATGTGTTTTGTTGTTCTGTAGTGTTAATAATTTGTGATTTATCAGTTAGGATAAACCTCTACTTTCTTATCGAAGTTTGAAGACGTGAATGAACTCATACTCCATTCTATGTCCTTTTGTTCTCAAAATGCAGTTGTAGACCCTCAGAGCTTGCTAGAAGAGAAAGAAGCAGTAGAGGAGAAACTGGCAATTAGTGAGTATGAGCTTCGTTTAACTCAAGAAGACATTATGAAACTTAAGACTGAATTACAGAGGAAAGCAGATCTCCCTCTGGATAAATTAAATGGTACGCTTTTTGTATCTACTTGATATCTGAAATGTTGGGTTTAATTTTTACATTTCAAAGTCTTCTAATAAGAAATTGTAGTTAGCTTGAGTTTCTAGTGTAAACCATTTTTGGAAAATTTTGTTGTCTAGAAAATTTTACTGTAAATAGTAAACACGATGGGATTAAAGTAGTTATTCATGCTTCATTAGTCAGCCGCCATGCTTCTTTGATTTGTAAAATTTCATATTGGGTGATGCACTTGCAGGATCAGATTCGGGTGTATCTGCAAATCTTGGACCGGAAATTCAAAGACAGAAGAGGGATGCCCCCTTCTCTGATTTGGGTCCTTTGAAGCCCAATGAACGTATAGATCTTAACTGTGCAGTAAAGGAATATTTGCTTATAGCTGGTTACCGGCTTACTGCGATGACATTTTATGAAGAGGTACATGCAACTCCTAAATCCTATGCACCCTGCTCTGCCCCATCCTTCATAAATAAGAAAAAAAAATGTTGATTATGTTGTCATTTATGATTAAACTATACATATCTCTTGCTCTATGACATCGTATGTTTAGTTGGGAGAAGATGGATATGATTCTGAGAATGGAAACCTGGCCAACTGACTCACATAGGGACAATCTGATCTTTAATAATGACTTAAATTTAGTATCAAATATAATTTGCTTTTCTTGTGGTGCAACTTTTGACTTCTTTTCCCCAATGCTAAGATCTTTCTATAGTCAATGAATAGACTGGAGAATGATTTTCTAGATTAATTTCAGATCTCATATTCTGTATTCTTAGTTTTTGGCTTGACTCTTAGACTGTTAAACTTGTATTTAGTAATGGTATGTAGCAGTAAAATGTGGTGGATTCTTGTTTTGCTGTGGGCAAGCTGGAATGTATATATATCTCACTGTAGCTAATTGACAAACATTTTTGTGGCTGATCTATAGTTTCACATCAGGTTACAGACCAGAATTTAGATGTTTGGCAAGACTCACCTGCGTGTGTACCTGATGCATTGCGCCATTACTATTATCAGTACCTTTCATCTACCGCAGAGGCGGCTGAGGTAAGCAAAATGCTGTTTTTACATATTCACAGAGAAATCTAGTGGAAATTTTCAATTGCAGCTGATGTTCTTTACCATTTTTAAGTCAGCTTGGTCTGAATCCTTTGAACTTGGAAGGCTGTGAGTTTATGTATGTATTTTATCTGAACACTAGGAATGCAAAAATTGCAATTTGAACAATAGATAGAGCTAGTCATCCTAAATTAATGTTTAATGCTATGCTTTTTTTTTTTTTTTTGATATAACATTGATTAAGCATATTGGTGGAGGGTTGCATGACAAAACTTATATAATTCATATTCTCATTCATGAAAACATTGTTGTTTCTTTAAATTTCCATTCTTCTTTACTCTTGGTCTTGGATTTGACACAAGATGTGTTGTAGATGCTTACTCTTTGTAGACATATCTGTTGCTTATCTTATCCTCGGGCCCAAAAACTTATAGTTAGGTTGCATGCATGTATGTTGACTACCTCAATTTGTTTTAACATTTAAGAGCTTTTTTTTTTATACTTTTAATATTTTGCACTAAAGGTTTCCAGTAATTGAATCTTGAAGGATCAATTCTTCACCGATACCAGCTTTATAGTTGAATAGATCTTTCTGCCTGTTTGAATTTCTATAGTTGAAATGCAGAATGATTCTTAAATTACAGGAGAAAATTGCTATGCTTCAAGAAAATGAGTTATTACGGAAAGCAAATGAAAGTCTAAAACATGAGAAACAGGGCCTGCTGAAAAGCAAAGATTTGGCTGATGGTCAAATAAGTGCATTAACCAAAGCTGTAGAAGCTAAGGACGTCATGGTACTATTCCCATACTAAAATGATTCTTTTAGAGCAGCTTCTGAACATGTGTAGATGAATATGCCACCACCATACTTTCTCAGGTACAAGATTTGAAGCAGGCCATAGAGCACCAAAGGAAGGAGCTCAATGGTTGTAGAGCTGAAATCACTTCACTAAAAATGCACATCGAGGGCTCTCTTTCTGGACGAAATTTGGTAACTACTGATGGTGAACCTGTTCAGTCCCAGATGTTGGAAAGTTACAGACAAGAAATAAAGTCTTTGCATATGGAAATTGAAAGATTAAAGGTCAACAATAAAGATGCTCCCTGTTCTGTGGGTTCCATACAATCTGAGGAGGAGTCAATGATACAGACTGCAGAGAAAGTTGTTGAGGTGGATGAAAAGAAAACTGTTATCTCTCATCCTGCTGACTTGGCAGGAGTTGTAGACAATAAAGATGCTCAATCACTGTCCACTCAAACCTTTGAAGACAACACTGACAAACCTAAGGAGATTTCACAACCATTATTGAACAGTTCTCTGAATGTTAATGATGCTTTCTCAACTTTCGATAATATATCTAAACAAGACGAGGAAGCTGCATTAAAAGAAAGTGGATTGCATTTAAATTCAGACAACATAAGTGTTGAGGCTGCACCGGATAAAATTGTAAGTTTTGCAATCTTGTTTTAGGACATTATATCAGTACGCACAAGTGTTGGCACAGCAGGTCTGTCTTCTTTTAGGGTTGGATTGGGAGATATTGTGGCTCTTTCAAGATTCTTGTGGTCATTGCCATCATTTATTGGCCTTCCATTGGAATGACCTGATTCCTTATACTTGAAAGCCTCATCTACTGCCCAATTATGCTTGTTTCTCTTCTTTTCCTCTTCTTTCATTGTTCCACTGATTTGATGTAGTTTACTTTAACAGGGTTTTGGGACCATTCAGATCCTTGCAGATGCCTTGCCGAAGATTGTTCCTTATGTTTTGATCAATCATCGTGAGGTTAACTTTCTGACTTTCATGTAGAGATATATGTTTTCCCTTTTTTCTGTAAAGGTTATTATGAAAATTTAAAATAATTTGGTTTTATTAATCCATAGGAGCTCCTTCCCCTGATAATGTGTGCAATTGAGCGCCATCCAGATAGCAGCACACGAGATTCATTGACCCACACACTCTTTAATTTGATTAAACGTCCAGATGAACAGCAGAGACGAATTATAATGGATGTAGGCCGATTTTTTGAAGCATTTTGTAAAATTTGTTGCTATTGAGAAGTTTGAACATGATGATAGTGGATATTTTCTACCTATTTCAGGCGTGTGTCACCCTTGCTAAGAATGTAGGGGAGATGAGAACAGAAACAGAGTTGCTTCCCCAGTGCTGGGAACAAGTGAGCTACTGTCTTGTTTGTCGAGGCACTCCTTATTTTCTCAGTTATGTTATGCCTTTTTTTTTGTTCCCTTTAATGTGATCTTTATTGAACTGTTTATTTGGAATACAGATAAATCACATGTATGAGGAGCGTAGGCTGCTTGTTGCTCAGTCATGTGGAGAGCTTGCAGAATTTGTCCGGCCAGAGATTCGTGATTCTCTCATTTTGTCCATTGTGCAACAACTGGTAGAAGATTCCGCAACTGTCGTTCGGGAAGCTGCTGCACATAATCTGGCCCTGCTGCTTCCATTCTTTCCTGATATGGATAAATATTTCAAGGTCAGCCTCACTACATTTGCTTCGAGGCAATCATGGAGAAGCATTCTGACTTGACAGATTGGCTACAATGTAAGCTCTAGAACAGGTTGATGACGCATGGTCTAGGGAATGGAGCCATATGCCCTTAGAATAATAATATAATTTATAACTTACAAGAAGTAGAGAAGTATAATAAAAAATAAAGATTCTCCAAAGGTTCATGTTGTTTGTTGATAGGTGGAAGAGTTAATGTTCCAATTGGCTTGCGACCCCTCTGGAGTGGTGGTAGAAACTACGATCAAGGAACTACTTCCTGCACTAATAAGTTGGGGAAAGAAATTAGACCACATTTTGAGAGTTCTACTCTCACATATTTTAAGTTCTGCTCAGGTATTTTTCATTTTTCTTACAATAAATTTCTCATTATTGGGTGGCCACCTTCGATTTCCCATTTTGATAACCTTTTCCCTTTACTTTGATCTCATCTGAATATTCAGCGTTGTCCTCCTCTTTCTGGGGTGGAAGGGTCAGTGGAGGCACATCTGCATGTTTTAGGTGAACGAGAACGCTGGAACCTTGATGTTTTACTTCAGATACTGGCAGAATTGCTTCCTTATGTGCACCAGAAAGCAGTTGAGACATGCCCATTTCCTACCGTTTCAGAGTCAGATGAGACTGTGTTTTCTTGCTCCCTGCTTGAACTTTATTCTGGGTAAGATCTGGCATTCAATTCTTCACTTTTCAATTACTTATGCTCTATCTATGTAAAATTGGTTTCTATCATTAGACAATGGCATTGTCTAACATTTTGAAAGCTTGGTTGGGGGCAATGTTTGATTATGATAAATTTTTATATCCTAATAGGGGACATGTTGAATGGCCTGCATTTGAATGGTTGCATGTTGATTGCTTTCCTGATTTGATACAACTCGCTTGCTTGTTGCCCCAAAAAGAAGATAAGTTAAGAAACCGAATTACAAAGGTAATTTTGTCTCCCTCACAGTTCTTTATCTATTGTCTTCCTCCCAGTTGTTATTGGGATGCCTTTGCGCAAACTGATGCCTGTACTACTTCAAAGTTCAGACAGTACTCTTTAAATTTATGACTGATTTAGACATTGTCATGTAGTTTTTATTGGCTGTATCTAAAAGATTTGGCGATTCTTATTTGACCCACATAATGCTACCTGTATTTCTGGGAGCAGTTGGGGATAATGCCGACTTGACATTAATCCCTTCCAGCCTCCACTCAAGAATTAAAGGTATGGTGGATTGTTGTTGTTATTTGCAATTTGACATCATTCCATGCTTCTTATCAATGGCTGCATGATTTCAGGGTTAAGACCCAGAACTGCTGTGGCCGAGAGAGTTGCTACTCTATGTGTCCTGCCACTTCTCTTGGCAGGTGTTCTAGGTGCTCCCAGTAAGCGCGAAGAGCTAGCAGAGTACTTAAAGAAGCTTTTAGTTAACCGTTCCATGAAAGAGAATCAGTCTATGAATTGCCACGCTGAAATTGTGGATGCTGTCCGCTTCCTTTGGTTTGTATTTCGAAACTGTATTATCCCACTTGTATGCAATTTATTGTTTCACTAATGGGCTTCTTGCTTAATCCAGCACATTTGAAGAACACCATAATATGATATTCAATATTTTTTGGGAAATGGTTGTAAGCTCTAACATTGAACTGAAGATAAGTGCAGCCCATCTGTTGAAAGTCATTGTAAGTTACTCATTCATCATTCCTTTTATATTGCCACTGCTAGTGACACCTTATATATATATATAAAAACTGTTAAACCTCATGTATTTAATAGGTGCCATACATTGATGCAAAACTTGCTTCTACTCACATTCTGCCTGCATTGGTTACCCTTGGTTCTGACCAAAATCTCAATGTGAAGTATGCAAGCATAGATGCATTTGGAGCTGTTGCACAGCATTTTAAAAATGATATGGTATGGCCAAGGTTGATATTGGTGATATTGATGCTGCAATTCCTATATATATCTTTTCTTATTATGTTTGAAATAATACAGATTGTTGATAAAATACATGTTCAAATGGATGCTTTTCTTGAAGATGGATCCCATGAAGCAACTATAGCAGTAGTCCGTGCCTTGGTGGTAGCCGTTCCACATACAACAGATAAACTTAGGGATTATATCCTTTGACTTTGCAATGAAAATAACTTCCAAGAGTTCTTCATTATTTTGCATATCCATTGCATTTTAGCCAATTTCCTGCTGCCAGTATTGAATCATTTTCTTGATCCATTTGTTTCTTTAACATGATATACATCTTTTGTCCAAGATTTTCCAACTGACAGGCATGTCAGTTTCTGCAAGTGATGTGGTCCGTCGCCGTCAAAGAGCTAATGCATTCTGTGAAGCTATTCGTGCTCTGGATGCAACAGGTTCCTTCTTAATGGACCTAAAATTAAACTTCTAGCACTACCATTTTATATTTCTTTACCCTAAGAGCTCACTAGAGGCACCTCTGCATAATAGTGCCTAAATGAATAATTATTAGTGCAGTTTTATTTGCGATGATTTACTGTTTGTACTTAGTTCCTTCCACATGCTTTTATTGTGCTGTAATGGATTAAATTTGAAAACAGTTTCATCTTCTATTGTCTTATGAGGCTTAAAATCTTGTTGCAGATCTTTCTGCTAATAGTGTTCGGGATTTTCTCCTTCCTGCTGTACAAAACCTATTAAAAGACCCTGATGCACTAGATCCAGCACACAAGGAAGCACTTGAAATAATAATGAAAGAAAGATCAGGTGGTACTTTTGAGGCAATCAGTAAGGTGATGGGGATGAGTGCTCATCTAGGAATTCCATCATCAGTGACCAGCCTCTTTGGGGAAGGCGGATTATTGAGCAAGAAAGACAGTGCTGAACCACAACCTGAAGCAGTTGAATCTCCAAAGGCCGTGCCACCTCCAGCAGCGGAGGATACTAGGTTTATGCGCATCATGAGGGGAAATTTCACAGACATGCTCCGAGGCAAAGTAAAAGGCCAAGAGGAAACAAGCCAGAATCAATGAGTTCAGATTTGCCCCAGTAAATGGATAAGTGAGAGAATGATAAGACATTTTCTGGAAGTTACATGCATATCAGAGAAGAGGTTTTTTATTTTTTTTTATTTTTTTCCGTAGAATTCATATTTTAATAGGGAGGAAGGAAAGAAAATAAAGATAAATTTTTGCTATGCTGCCTGTGTTGTGATCGGTTTGTAAGAAACCAGTATAAAATCATTGAGACTAGAAAGATTTCCTTTGTTAAAGGCTTTTGACAATGCTTTATGGATTGTGATCGGGCCATGTTCTTTTCGTCTCTCAATGGGGACATTTCAAGTGAAAAGAAAAGAGAAAAAAAAGGAAGAAGAAGGGGAAATCGCGCATGGGATAGGATGGTATGTTTCGACCCAGTTACCCACTTGTAAAGTAACGACAACCTAGGGATTATCTACGATAAGTTAACAGATGCGTAGCTAATTAAAAAGGAAAGAAAATATTAAAAAAAAAAGGGTCATAAAGGAGTAGAAAAATTTGTTTTGAATGCCTAAACCTGAACAGTTGATAAAGAAAAAAAGAAAAGAACTACTAAACGAAACTTGAACTACTAATGAATTAAATAA